AAGATTCTGTCCCAAAAATGAAAATAAAAAGAGTAATCACCTGTCTTTCTTATGGGAACCAGCAACTATCATTAATGTAATTATTACATACTCTTATTATCTTTATCATCTGTTTTTACAATAGGGCACAAAACAACCAACGCAAAGCAATCATATTTGCTTATAATAGCTTTTTACCTGTGCTAATGTGTACTGGTTCCCAATCATAATTGTTTTATATGAGGTGTACAACACAAATCATGTCTAATTAATAGAATAGATTATATTATAACAATTTGAGTTTTGAAAATTTCTTTGAATATTGGTCAGGCACAGTGGCTCATGCCTGTAATCCCAGCCCTTTGGGAGGCCAACACAAGTAAATCACCTGAAGTCAGTTCAAGACCAGCCTAGCCAACATGATGAAACCCCGTATCTACTAATAATACTCATACAAAAAAAAATTAGCCAGATGTGGTGGCAGGTGCCTATAATCCCTGCTACCCAGGAGGCTGAGGGAGGAGAATTACTTGTTGCAGTGAGCCGAGATCACCCCACTGCACTCCAGCCTAAGCAATACAGTGAGACTCCATATCAAAAAAAAAAGAAAGAAAATGTCTTTTAATGTTACTCTAGGCATCTCTCTCAACATGCCCATCAGGCAGTTAAATACAGGAAAGCACAGTTTATAAAAGAGGTTGAAGTGAGAGATCCTAGTAAGTAAAGCTTTCAGGTGTATAAAAGCAAAACAAATTCTTTCAGATAGGAAACCATTTACAAATTCCTAAGCACAGGTAGGAGTTTTCAGAAAATCTACAAAGACCAAGCCTAGGTCTTTACCAAGGCTAGAGTCGAAGATCAGAGCCCACCTTTATCTACCTACACAGATAGCTTTAAAGGGACTGTTCTGGACTGTGTCCCAATGTGTTGAGTATTCATTCCTGCTATTTGACCAAATCTCAATGTCTTCCTTTGAGTCTTATAATCCTTAGATCACTCAGATTTAAAGACACATATTCCAAAGGTAGGTTATACTTTCAGCTTTCATTGTAGTTTCATTACAAGCAGCAACATGTAAGTAAAAGGATAGAATATCCACCCATCTTTTATTGAGAAATTGCATGATGTCGCATCTTGATAAGCCTTTACATGCATTGGAGGAGAAACGTAAGGTATTTAGAAGTAAAACGCGAAGCCCTAAGGGGAGCAAAACATATAAAAGAAGACGGTGAAGAATCAGTGCATTTGTCCTCCACAACCCAACCATGGGCTTCAGGAGAGCAGGAATAGTAATGGCTTTGTTTGCCACTGCATAACCAGCACCACACATAGAAGCTGAAACATTAGAGGTTTCCTTTCTTTCTTTCTTTTTCTTTCTTTCTTTCTCTTTCTTTCTTTCTGTCTTTCTTTCCCTCCTTCTTTCTTTCTGTCTTTCTTTCCTTTTTTTTTTTTTTTAGATGGAGTCTCACTCTGTCCCCAGGCTGGAGTGCAATGGTGTGATCTCGGCTCACTGCAACCTCCACCTCCTGGGTTCAAATGATTCTCCTGCCTCATCCTCCTGAGTAGCTGGGAGTACAGGTACATGCCACCACCCCGAGCTAATTTTTTTGCATTTTTAGTAGGGACGGGGTTTCACCATGTTGGCCAGGATGCTGGCAATCTCCTGACCTCAGGACCTGCCTGCCTTGGCCTCCCAAAGTGCTGGGATTACATGTACATTAGAGATATTCTAATGTTTGTTGAAAGAAAAACAGAAGGAAGAGAGGGAGGAAAGGAGGCAAACAGAGAAAAGGGAGAAAGGAGAGGGTGAGAGAAGGTGGTAGGAAGGGAAGAAGCGAGAAAAAGAGGGAGAAATTTGATTTTGAGCTGGGACCCTGAGATAATGTCCCAAAGACAATGGCCAAGAGACTTCAGTCTGGAATGGAGAAAAAGTTCTGGAAATAGTGACATGATATCGTGAATTTACTTAATGCCACTGAATTGTATGCTTGAGAAGACTTAAAATGAAAACTTTTATGCTATATATACATATGTGTATTTTACCATGATAAAAAAAATTTAAATTATATACACTAGAGTATAAATGTCCTCTGTCCTCAGACTTTCAATAAAGTGTTAGAAACACAAATGCCTTGTGTAAGTGGATCTTGTGAAAATAATGGAAAGGAAGTGTAAATATCTGAATCACGGTAGTCTGAACAGAAGCTGACCACGAAATAGGAAGAAAATTCATGAAATGAACTAATTCTTCTAAATTAGAAGCTCAGAGCCCAAGAAGATAAGAAAACAGTTAGGCATCTTCCCCCAACCTCTCTATTCTCAGTTTCCTTGGAGATGTTGGGAATAGCCACGACTTCTACCTAACAGCAAAAGGATATAAGAGAGCTATTTGTGATTCAATGTTAAATGACAGGATGTCTCAGCTGATACTTGGGTTACATGCATATTATCTCAATTTACTCCTGAAAACAAAGGTGTGAGATGCTACCATGATCTCTTGTTCACACACAGATGAACTAACTGCGGCTTAGGAATGTCAGCAAACCTGCACCCAAGTGACAGAACCAGAAAAAGTTATGCTCCTTCCCTGCAGCTATGAGATGCTGGACACAAATTGCATTTCTAGGTTGTAAATGAAGAGAAAGAAATCATCACTGCCCTGTCTTTTAAAAGACAGTTCTCAAAAACAAACTTTGAAACTTTACAATTTATTATGTAATAAGGCAAAGAATGGAGAGAACTTCCAAAGTTCAAGTACAAATCGAATAGCTCTAACAGCAAAAAAAGATGATTCCCCAAACAGAAATGAAGGCAAGAAAATAGCTTTGCAAGACAGCTACCACAGCCTTAAATGTTCACACTGTCACAATAAATAGCCCAAGCAAAAGCTCGTTCATATATATACAAAACCTGTGTTCTTATATATTATTAACATAGAAATCTTCTCTGATAGAGCCAAGTAACCATCTAAATAAAAACATAAAAAAGGCATCTCTGTCCTTATATTTTTTATTGACATCTGGAAAGCTGAAAGTTAAAAAAAAAATTGTAATCTGTCATCTTCTTAAAAGTAGGAATTTTCCAAATCATATGTAGAGTGACTAAAATAAACAACAAATGAGAATCATGTAAATAACAGTTTTGAAAGGGCAATGTAGAGTTCCCCGAGTGATTTCTATTTGAAAATAAATCAGAGCATTCCCAAAAGCTAGAGGGCTTCTTTTAAAAAGAGAGGGCATGAAACTAATATAGACTAAAAAACCACGTCTTGGTTTAATGAGATGTTACCATGAGCCATACATACTAACATTATCCAATTTAATCCTAAGAGAGTCATCAATAGGAAAAATTTTAAATATTGCATCTATATGGAAATAATCTATACATTTTGCCTCTGAAAACCCTTCGGAGAAATAAGAAATCTGTTTTGCACTGACAACACAGAGTGAGATCAAATTCTGCACGAGGCACCAGCATTTCTGTTATGAAAAAGGACATCCATTGTTGGCGGTACGTGTATCTCATATGTTTCCATTTTCTGTAAAAATCATCTGCTTTTGTTTCTCCTTGAAGAACTCTAAAAAGAAAATTGAGATGTTTTCTCTGGACAGAACAGATGAGAAAGGCAAAAGCAAACCAGTTGGTAGCCAGTCTTCACTTTCTTAAAAAAAAAAAAAAAAAAAGGTAAAGGGACTTAGCATGTTGACCTCCACCTATCCAGATGGTTTGTTTTATTTAGTACATGAGTTCCAGAGGAGAGCAAGCAAGAAGTGTGGCTAAGTGTTAATATAAGCCAACAGGGTTTTAAGCTTCTTTTGAAGATTTACTAAAACACAGAGCTTTAGTTTTCTCAGAGCTCTGACTTGATCAATCATTTGGAATCCCCGGTTGGGAGATTCTACCAATCTGCTGCCAGGAGTGAAGAGACTATAAAACTAGAGCCAGAGACACCTTTTTGATGTGATGAATTTCAGGGCCTGAAAATTGACTTCCCTTTCTTCCTCCTTCTCCTTCTATCCCAGTTGATCATGATGAGATCTTTTGCAAATGTTTCCACTGTGATCTTCTAACTAAGTAAGACTGAGAACCTCTCAATGATCCCGCTGCCCACTTCCCTGTACACCTCTCTGTAGTATCTGGTTTTCCGGGTGACTTTTCTTTATCCTACATAAAAGTTATGCCATGTGCCCCTAGAAATTGGGGGAAATGTAGAAGACAAGATACTCCTAGAAATCTCATAGCCCTGGCCTGTAATCCCAGCATTTTGGGAGGTGGAGGCAGCAAATCACTTGAGGTCAGGAGTTCAAAACCAGCCTGGCCAACATGGTGAAACACTGGCTCTACTAAAAACACAAAAATTAGCCAGGCACAGTGGTGAACATCTATAATCCCAGCTTCTCTAGAGACTAAGGCAGGAAAGTCACTTGAACCTAGGAGGCAGAGGTTACAGTGAGCCGAGATCATGCCACTGCACTCCAGCCTAGGCGACAGAGCAAGAATCTGTCAAAAAGAAAAGAAGAAAAAGAGAAGAAGAGAAAAGAGAAGAGAAGAGAAAATCTCATAGTCTTTACTTCACCACACAGCTGAAGACTCTCTCCGAACAAGTAAAATATAAGATAATACTTTGCTTGGTCACAGGGCATAATGACTAAGCCCATATTCAGAAAAAAAAAAAATAGACCCTGATTAGCAAAGACATTTGCAAACAAGGAACTCTGTTGAGGAAACCAAATACCACCTGTTCTTACTAACAAGTAGGAGCTAAACGTTGAGTACCCACGGACATAAAGATAAAAACGATAGGCACTACCACTGAGAGAGTGGAAACAGAAGAAGAGGGAAAGGACTGGGAAGCTACCGATTGGGAGCTATGTTCAGTACTTGACAAACGGGTTCAATCATACCCCAAACCTCAGCTTCACACAGTACACCCTTGTAGCAAACCTGCACGTGTACCCACCCACCCCCAAATCTAAATAAAAAGTTGAAATTTTTTTAAAAGAACTCTGCTGAGACATACATTTGCAATGCCAACTCATGCAGGTTTATTGAGAAATACATGGCGAAACAAGCTCCCTTTTTGAGAGATACAAAAGCAGAGGCCAGGAGATACAGCAGCACAGTGAAAACATGTTAAAAGCATTAGAGACTGGGGCGTGGGTGGTAAAGCTTCTGGACACATCCAGAGGCATACACAGCACCAGTGAGCAACCCTTAAAACAGGCTTAGGGCTGGCCAGAAAACTTTGAGAGTGCCAAAGACAGCGTGTGCATGGCTAGTAGCCAGCAGTCAGGCAGTCAGAAGAGGAGTCAGCGATGAAGAGCTATTAGGGACAAGCAGCGTGCTGGAAGATCCTGGAAACAGCTGGCAGGTCGTGGAGTCTTGATTCGCTCACCGGCTCCCACACACTTAGCAGGTTCTTCGGCAGCTGGACATGCAGGACGGCTGGTACGTCCTGGAGACCCCACAGGCTGGCTGGCAGACAGTAGAGACTCCGCCCACTGGTTGGCAGACACTGGAGATGCCTCCCAGGGGCTGACATCCACTAGAGACAAAGGTGAGTGGCCGGCTGCAGGTAGTTGAACAGGGGTTGGCAACACAGGTAGTTTGCCGAGAGCAGGTCACCTGGCAAGGGTTGGAGACGCATGAAGTTCGCTGATAGCAGGTTGGCTGGCAAGCAGTGGGCCCACAGCAGGTTTCCTGACAGTGGTCCAGGAGCCAAGAGCCAGTCTGGAAGGAACTGGGCAAATAGATGCCACCCAGGCAGTCAGCATCAGTGATGGAAGTCGTGGCAGCTGGGGCCATTGGAGCAGTGCAGCGTCCTCCAATTGGCCTGGAAGAGCAATTTCTTGTGGAGCAGTTGAAGGACATGATGTCAGACAGAGGGCTGCAGGTAGCTTGCTGAAGTTACCTCCTGAGTTGTGAATGTCACTTCAGGCTCCTGAGCTTTTATATATCCTCGCTGGTGGGTGGGGCTCTCTCCCTGGTCTCCCTGGCTTCTTTGGCTCAGACCAGCTTGCCTTAGAACATCTTATGAATCTACACATTAATTGTCTCTTAAGAAGCCTTTACCCTCATAAAGAAATTTAGTAGTTTGGTAACTAAATCACAAGTCTCTGTACTGTACTTAGTCTGATTAAGAAGGCTGGTTGGCAGCTTCAAAGTTATTGGTCATCCCAGCCCACACTTTGTCCTTCATTCATCTTGCTTATGATGAGTATTGATCTGACAGTAACCAAAGTTGCCACCATCCTACCATCACACACTCTCTCCCTCCATACCAGGACCAATTACAAGCCAATGGCCTGTCTGGTTTGTCACTGGACTTAATATCTTTTAAACATAACTTAATCAGTCACTATACCATGCCTAACGGAGCTCCTCATTAGGAAGCTACCTCTTCAAATATGTTTCAAGATTACAAGGACAACATCTGCCAGGAAAAAGGACACAGAGACTTGTAACCAAAGTCTGAGCTGGCTCTCCAAATTAATCAGCTGACTCAAACAAGATGCCCGTGGGAAAGCTAGAGGGCAGTGAGACCCACCCTTTATGTTCAAGTGACAAAGCAAATTAGAAGCTAATTAAGTGCAACGTATTTGTAGCCAAGGCCTTTTCTAAATAGATTGGATGAGCTTTATTCCTAAAATGTTTGATTTAATAACAATGGATAATAGTGACTCCTGGGTCTCATTAATATGCCAGTGGAAAAGGCTTACTTAATTTTTTTAATTATCATAATGTTAATTTGAAAGGGTATACTGTCTTTCTCCCAATTTGCTCAATGTGTTCCAAAAATATTTATTTTCACACAGATACTTATAGATAGAATGCATTTTAATAATAGGCAAACTAAAGACTCTTCAAGGTCACTGTCTCGGTCAGGAATAAGGGGGAGGCAGAGTGTGGGGAAGGAGGCACTTAATCAATGTTTGGTAATGAAGAGACGTGTGAAGTGTGTGCCATAATATTTAATTATTCTTTTTATGCTTGGGGAAGCTATAAGGGTACCATTCTCTTTTATTTCATCTTACTGCGATATAATGAATTTTGAACACCAGAATGATGGCTCATTTGGTCCACCTGAACACAGATGAATAAACTGCCTGACTCTGGCAAAATAAGCAACTTCAACATCACTTCAAGTGGTCAATGGTATTTCTGTCCCAAAACAGCTGTAAGATATGACTCATTTTTAAACTAGCTTATATGGGGGAGTCCAAGGGGATAAAATGGATTTCCATATATTTGAGGGCTACAGGTAATAAGCTATGTTTTAAATGTCCACAAAGCAAACAGTGTTACATCAGGACTCATCAGAAATCCACTTGCAAAAGTTTCATTCATCTAATTGGAAGCTAATGACACACCCAAACAAGAGGGTGCTGTGCTGTGAGCAATAGCATGATTCCCAGATATCAGACCTCAATGTCCCGACCCTCCCTCAGTGACTCACCGTGTGTTCCCTGGAACTAGGCAAAATTAATGAGATGACTACTTTCCTAAATGTTGTGGCTACACTCTTCCCACCAAAGAGAGTATCTTAGTTGGTGTTTGAAGGCCTGAGTCCTTGGTCCTAGGGCCTGGCTTGCATGTTTTAAAATGGATTAGTAGTTTACAGGCTTCTCCCAGTCATAGGTTACAGGCTACTGTGGAAGAGTACTTCTTTGTGGGAATACCCAAAACGTGGCCAGTAGTAGAATTACAAAGGAGAACATCTCCATACCTGTTGCCACATTCCTGGAATGGCAGAGAATTTTATCAGTTATTACTTTGCCTTGATTCCTCTTTCTCATTGAAAGCTGGAAATTACCGATAAAAGGGCCCTGGCAAATATCTTCCATTGCTTCAGAAAAAAAAAAAAAAAGAACATGAGTGTCTTTCAAGTGCTCCACTCTCTTCCAGACATTGAGTTAAAGGTTTGCACAACTCATCTCACTGAGTTCTTACAGCAACTCTACAGAGTAGGTATCACGTCACATGCCGGAGCTGAAGTTCAGAGATGTTGGGTGGCTCGCCAAGGTCATGGAGTTTATATTTGACTAAGTTGAGATTCCACTAAAACAAAGTCTCTGAGCTACCAACTCATACCAAGGATACTTAAACGTGATGAGATGCCTTCCGTAAAGTTATGAACAAGAATGTGTTATTTTTAATCAATCAATCAATACTTCATTGAAGACATTATAAGGAATATAATCATTTATCTTTTAACAATTAACAACGGAAATAAATAAAATAGTAAGTCACAAGCACTGCTGTCCTACTTCATATGTTTTCTTCATTCTGTATCCAATTTAACAATTTTTAATCCTTGCAATAAGATGCAAGGTCACTACAAACAAAGCAAAAAAAGAATAGAGAAACATGAATAGCTTAAAGTTAGTTTGAAGTTATAATTATGTATAATAGCTGTGCATACAACTAATTTTCAGAGCATAGCAGATAAGTGAATTGACTTTTCAGTCTCATCCATTTTCCAGAGTCTGCCATTTTTCAGGTGCTAAATAGAGGGGAAATGTTGAGTAGATCCCTTTGATTAATTATTCAAAGAAACTTTGGCTTACATTAGATCATTTCTGAAGTCTTATATTAAATGATTTCAGAGTTTGTGAATAACACTTCTCAGAAAGGTCTTGCCAACTAGACTTGAAAAATAGATACGCTTCTCTGCTGTTCTCTGAAAATACACCATCCAGCACAGAGGTAGACAAGCTACTAAATATTCTCATGTATTCTATTGTTACTTGCAAGCACTTCCACTCTTTATCTGCATTCACTGTAGGCTGCAAAAGTGTAGAAACATGTACTGACAGTCACATAAGCTTGATGAAACTACACAATTTTAATTTGACAGTGTTGTTCAATGAAATTAATAAGTCATCCTTTCCTTAAAATGTAAGAAAAAATTACACGGCCAATTGCTATCACCGTGTAGTTAGGCACAACATGAAACTTCAACTCAGCAAAAATTCTTATAATGATTATTATTCTCATGTCTGCAGAGCATGAAATGAGGGCAGGGGTATGTAATGGGAGCAGATGAGGAGAGATCAAGGAACTACTACCCATTATCTTCATCACTGATGGATAATTTGCTCTCTTTTGTATAGAACAGTCTAAGCCTTATACAATAATTATCACAGACTGGAAATGAGCAATTCTTTCCCTCAAAACTGAATCACAGCAATCACTTACAAGGCCAAGCATTTGAGAGTAAAATGAACTAAGCATGTGAGGGAGACTGGAGGTTTGATACACAGAAAGGATTTTTTTCCATCACAAAATTGATGATAATGTTGACCAACGCCAGTTCAGAGAAAACCACTTAGCCTCGTCGAATGGAGGAATAGTGAACTTGCTCAAAAATTAATATATATGAAATGAAATGCTGTCATTCTGTACTTTTTCAGGGTGATCACCCTCTCAAATTGGAAGCTATTCATTGTCTCCTAAGAAATGTAAAAAGGAAATTCAGAAGCTTAAGTGTAGAACTTAATGGTTGTCTTAAAAATTAAATACACGTTGGCAGGGTTGTGCTGCTTTCTTTCCAACTTCACACAGACCTCTGGGTTGAATCTCCAGAATCTTTATTAGCCAAGACATTATAAACCCCTGGAGGCTGAGTGATTTGCACCACAAAACTGAACTGAAATTCGTTTTCCAAACTCTTTTCAAAATGCATCAATCATAAGAAGGGTTGAATAATTTGGGCTGGAAGGAAGTCTAGGGTGAAAGAAGCAAGCAAAGACCAGTTGCTGCTTTTAGAACCTGAAAATAGCAGTCACTAGCTACATGACTTGTGTAAAAATAAACCTTCAGAGGACAGTGTCAAGGTTGAAAAATTCTAAATTGAACCATTCTCTCTCTTGATGCCTGTTTTCAGATTCATGTGTTTTTTCATGTGTGTCTTCATTGCAGATCAAAATCAGGGTGCTGTCAAGAAAGGTGAGTAGCATCCCAAGTATTTTTCAGCACAACAAACCCCGCTGTCGCAAAGCCCATGTGTAGTTGGCATGGACTCCAGTCCTGGCCTTCCAAGGAAACAGAGGTAGACCCATTAGTAACAAAGTATGAGTAGTTTTTATGTATAGGGCCTAAGAGAGGGCACCAAGTCACCTAAGATGTATCATCCTTCCCTGATCCAGAACTATTCAGGCCCTATTAGGTACTCTGTGGTGTAAGGATACTGGAATCTATGTAGAAGACAGGCGAAGTAGATATGTCTTTTCTTAACATCACTTAATTGACCTGTGCTTATACCCTTTCAACATAGTCCTTCTTAGTCTGATCTGCCTTTCTGGGGGATTAAAAGTGTAACATTAGGCCAGCACTCTATCAGGTTGGTAATTAGACTTCCAATGCTGGATTTTAAATTCCTCTCATATAATTCTCTTACCCGATTCATGAGAAACGAAGTCCCAAACAGGGAGGATCTTTGCCAAGCACATCAAACATTCTTGTGCACTACTTCGAAACTGTCTCACTTCATTTCTTACTGTAGCCTGTTTGCACATGCTTAAGCCAGTTTCGTGATGGTACAATCCCAAAGTGCTTCCTTCACTTAGAGACAACTCACATGCTCCTTGCTTCTGGCTGGGTATTACCTGATGCCATGGCAAGGAAAGTCCATGTTAATTTTCTCTGCAGTCACATAGGTACCACCCAGAAGTCGGGTCAGCTGTAGGCAGCAGAGAATGCAAACCAAAGGATGAACGCTCCCCACTTTTGTCCTCCAGGTAGATAATACTTGATAGGGCTTTGTCGTGTCCCCACCCAAATCTCATCTCATCTGGTTGTGGGAGATACCCAGTAGGAGATAATTGAATCATGGGGGCAGTTTCCCCCTTACTGTCCTTGTGGTAGTGAATTATTCTCACAAGATCTGATAGTTTTTTAAAGGGAAAGCCCT